CGCTACACATAAAAACTGATGATGGTGGAAAAATACACCGAAACGTATTTTAATTGATAAATAAAGACAATAAATGACTGAAACCCAGGAATTAAAAATAGTGGCGAGCCGCCCTTAAAGAGGAAAATTACTCCCTTTTGAAACCTTTTGTATCGTCCGAGCGCCAAGCCCTTGATCCATAAGAGTAGTGCAAAATCCTCGCAAATCAATTAAATTTCGAGGCAACTAATTCAACATCTTTACAAGTATGAACGCTAGTTTTGCAAAGCTCTCACTGCGAGATCGAGACAAATTGTGCGTTTTTACATAAAACATTACGTTTGGAATGGACCATTTGAGTAGTAAAGCTCTAGCTGAGATAGAGCGCGTCAGTCAAGAAAGTGTTTGAGGCACATTTAGAGAACCGGTAGAGTTCTAACGCTCTAGTCGTCACTGCTGAACAAAGTCTTCAAACTCTATAGTGTGTGCACTATCGACTTTTGGCATAAATGAGAGTACAAATCGTTAAATGCTGTCCAGTTTGCTTCCTTTCTTCATTGGCGCTTTGTTTTTCAACTACCACTAATCAGGGCAGTTTGGGGATGCAAGACAGTCCTGGGAGAAAACCACTGGCTTTAACGAAGCAACCTCTTTCCATTGAATTAAACGTTGCTGGACTGGATCGTTACTGAAAGCATATGTAAAAGAGAAAATCGCCCATAGAAGCTAATCATTACAGACAATTACACTCTGCCCAATGAACAGCAGTTATGTAACATGTGGAAATAGCAGTGTCTTATCCAGATAGAAACTTGCTGATGCATCTGTTGGCAATGGCTTCACGTTAAAACCCCGATATCAACCAGCATGCACATGTAAGAAACTGCTTAATGAACGTCTGGTGAAACTCTGAAGAAAACGGGATCAATCGGATGCATTTGGTTGGAGAAATAAGGCAGAATTCGCTGAAAACATAACCTGCAAGCGCCCCAAATCATGTTTCCTTGCCAGGCGAATGAAAGCAAACGCAGAGGCCTGGTTGCAAAAGTATGGCGTGGCTGGACGCAGGTACAATAAACCGTTATGGATTTCTCTGCTGAGAGCAAAGCCCGACAGTACTTCGACTGGATTATTGAGCAAATCGCCAAATACTCACTGGTAGCTCTTGAAGATCTCATTGGTGATTTTGCAGTGGAAAACCTCGTCCTCGTCCCGCAAAACGTCTGATTCAGTGTGCTTCTCAAACACCTCATTTCTGAGCAGGGGCATTTCGAAAGCCGAATGATCGCTTATTTGGAGGTAACTGGATCAAAAGCCGCCCGTTTCACTGCTATCATAACAGACAAATGACGCGACAAATTGCCGAATCAAATTCACTAAACGCAAGTAGCAAATCCGCAAAAAACCACCATTAAACAGCCGATTTTAATTCGACACAACTTGAGTTAAAACCCGACAAAAATTGAACGTTTTCATCGGCTTGCTAGAAGGACAGACGATAGGAAATGTCAAATACATGTCTTAAGCCCCGTCTAGCTGGATGGATTTTGACCGCATAGTGGTCGCGGTCGGGATGCGATGTTGCATAGCAACATCGCCTGGGCGTTTTACAGCTCGCGTGAAGGCCTACAGCTGCTGAGTTTTTGCCCCCACAGCATTTTTTCGTTTGATTATAACAGAAAAAGTTGCGATTTAATTTGAAAAAATGCCACCCAGCGCCCCAGCGTGAATGGGGCTTAGCGGCATTTAAAAATCAAGAGAGCCGCGCAGTCGCTCTACGCTCAAACGCCAGATGATCGGAAAAAAGGCGCGCACTCGTCGGCCATTTAAACCCAGAAGCATCCAAACAACGGACAGTTCGCTATGGGCGACCACACACTACCAGATTTTATTGTAGTAATCTGTAGTAATCTTCATGGTGCTGGAAGTCGTTGTCATTTCACTAATGGCGGTTTTATGAGTACGGGAAATTAAGGTTATCAGTTCTAATAGAAAATATTTTTATTGCCAACTTTCCTATAAAAGGAGTTAACTATAAATACAGTTAACCGCGCCAAAGCGTGATGTCTTTGATAATCACCAATTTCATACAGTTTTTAAGCCTCTGAAAACTCTTAGCTTCTGATCAACACCGTGATAAACTTTAAATTAATATCGTATCATGTTGATCACATTTATTAACGTTGCAAAAATCTTCGAAGGAAGACTCTTAAGACAGAATAAACATTTTGCGAATCAAAATCAACAGAGTGTTTCACCAGATACGAATCTTTTTATATACAAAAACATTGGCAGTTCTCATTGGGAAGCGCCCAAACCAGCATACTTTGACGACAAAAGTTCCCAATTTAAACTACTAAAGTCATACTTTTTAAACTAATTTTAAATCAACCTGTGGGTCAAACAACACATTATTTGCGGCATGCGGTATAAAATGCAACTTAACAAACTGGACAAATTGCAGGAAAAAACTGAAAGGGCGGGGCCTTAACGAATGCGACAAATTCAGTTATTTTCTCCTAAAGTTGTAAAGCAGCAATTTTGTATTTTGCTAAAAAAAAACAAACGCGCGTAGTTAACGGCGCCAAAGCGTGATGTATTTGATAATCACCAACTTCATACAGTTCATAAGCCTCTGAAAACTCTTAGCTTCTGATCAACACCGTGATAAACTTTAAACTAATATCGTATCATGTTGATCACATTTATTAACGTTGCAAAAATCTTCAAAGGAAGACTCTTAAGTCGGAATAAACATTTTGCTAATCAAAATCAACAGAGTGTTTCACCAGAGACGAATCTTTTTATATACAAAAACATTGGTAGTTCTCATTGGGAAACACCCAAACTAGCACACTTTGACGACAAAAGTTCCCAATTTAAACTACTAAAGTCATACTTTTTAAACTAATTTGAAATCAACCTGTGGGTCAAACAACACATTATTTGCGGCATGCGGTATAAAATGCAACTTAACAAACTGGACAAATTGTAATTTTGTAAAGTTGCAAAGCAGCAATTTTGTATTTTGCCAAAAAAAAAACAAAAATTTAATTTACACTTGTACCTGGAAAACTCGACAGTAACTGGCAGTTCTTCTACCAAACTAAATTTTGTCGCATTAGTTGAGGACCAGTAGGTATAAACTACATGCCACTGCAACAACTTGGCAATACGAAAAAGGCCTCAAATCACTAGGACTTCTTGCGTATCACACTCTTTTCCATATTAACGATAATCCTCTCAATATCTTGATCGAGCTCCTGGATTTGCATCTTTAAGTACATGTTCTTGATGAGCTCCTCCCTCATTTGGGCGGCGATTTTCCCTTTATAGCTCGGATCCGCCATCTCGGCCACCACTTGCAGATACTGCTGTTTGAACCCCTGCATCAGCTGCTGCAGCTTGTGCTGCATCGAACCGACAGCCGGCTCGTTCGCGTATGCAGCACTGCGTTTCCTTTTCAGTCCCGTCGGACGTTTCTTTGGTATTTCTGTCGTTGCCGCAAGCGGTTTATCCAAAATCAACTTACTGGGCCTGATGATGCTTTTGTTTGGTTCCAAAACCCCGTTTTTCTTCACCAGTTTCACGATAGTCCCATTGAGTCTCACTCTGGGATGTTTGGGGGCGCCGTTAGAAGACTCGTGGTTTGTCAAAACACTTTCCGGTCGTTTGCTCGGTTTAGAGGAAAGCAGTTTTCTTTTGGGAGGCGGGGTTATTCTCAAGGCGTTTTCGCTGTCGGTGGTGTCGAAGGAGTCGCAAGACCTCTCCGAGCTGTCGCCAAGGGGCGCAGCCCCATTTTTCTTCGCTAAAAAGTAGGCTTCCAGCTTGGTGCGATCGATCTGATGCAGATAGTACGACACCGGCTTATCTGTCCAGGACACCGAGCTGGTGCTGGGGGCAATTTCACTAATGTTCATTATGGTTCCGATATCGCTGAGGTTTCGGTCGGTGATTCGGAAATTGAGCGGACAGAAGCTTTTGGAGGAGATGATCTTCGTGCCGTGCTTCAGCTCGGCAAAGCGCTGCTTCAGCTTGTGGTCCACTGAAGGGCCGAAGGCAAAGTTGTTCACAAATATCACTGTGGCGTCGCTAAACGCCTCCCGGTGCGTGTCGTCGAAAAAGTCCCCTTTGCGTAGCTCGAACTGGCCGCACCTTTTCCCATACCACTGCATCCAAAACTTGAACTTCTTCGCCATCGCTTCGGCGTATCTAGCAGGAACTTCCGCTCGCTCTACCCCTATGCAGGTGCTGCAGAAGCAGCTGGCGGCTATTTGCAGCACCACCTGACCCACTCCTGATCCCAGATCGATAAACACATCGTCTTTGGTTAGCTCGATCTGGTCAATCATCTGAGCGATCAGATCGAAGGAGGTTTCGCCGTAGACATCGGGCGAAAACGCCTGATATTTGTTCAGTTCTTCCGCGTTGGTGACGGCCGCACTGTACGTCTGTTGGATGATGTGGTGCAGCAGCGCTTTGCCGGCCTTTTGGTTCAGCCGATCGCAGAACTTCTGCGTGCCCTTTTCCAGCGCTAGAATATTGCCGATAGCCTTGTTGTAGCGCTGAGTCAGCGCCCTCATCGACTCGTAGCTGTTCACGTCCACGTCCTGCAAAATATTCTTTTTCAGCGGCACTTCCAGGTCGGGAATGTCGTTGCAGCCCCACACGATAGTTTCGATTATTTCGCGCGCCTCGTCGTAGCCCTTTTTCTTGTTCAAGGGCCATTGGTAGAGGGCGGGCGCGCCGCCTACCGGCGAGTTGAGTCTCAGCTGCATCGCGTCCATGCACACCTTTAGCGGCTGGTCAGAGGCATGACAAGTTTGGAACTGCTGCCCCCAATCTACCCATCAAGTGGCTGAGGTGAGAACGAGCAGAAATAGTCAAATCTAACGAGATTCTCGTGCAAAATCCCATGCTTGGGGCCGAGCTGTGGAAGGAAAACCAGCGTTAACCTCAAACAGCATGCGGATTCTGGCCGATTCTACTGTACCTGAACCAACCGAACACTCAATCCATTCAAACTAACGATATTCATGCACTACACCGAACACCTTTGCTATGTTGAAACTGTTGGCTTCAGCTGTAGTCAATCGACACAAGTACTTTATTAACGACTTTGGGTGACTGGAAAGGTGGTTGAACCTAACCTAGAAGGCGGAAAGCGCGGGACTAAAAGGCCTCACTTGCTTGTTACTTGCGATTACATTGTTTCCAAGTGGAGAAAAACTGTTTCTGATGGAACGGATTGGATCGATGCAAAAAAACGTGCTTTCCAGAGTGCGTACTACTATGGAGCAGGACTGGATTTAAGTGATTTCATCACACCAATTGGTCTCCATTCATTAATCTGGCTGCAGCTCCAGGAGTCTCGGGTAACTATGAAAAACACCAGGCGCAGGCGAGCGCCAGCAATAAGCTCTCTATATATAGCAAATTGCCGTGCCCACAACTTTCTTAGTTGCGTCGTTTGAGCCTCTCCGAATTTTCTGTTTTTCCTTAAAGAACAATTCAAAAGTTTCAGCGAAAAACTGCTTGGATAAATTAAGTCAAAAAACACTTACAAACTTTTGAATTTGCGCCCTTCCCAAACCGGCTATTTATGCAGGAAAACGGGATTGTCCGGTGCTATTTGCTGCTAAATCGTGTTTTACGGATCAACAACTCATAACTCCACACGCAAAATTGTCGCCAAGTTGCATAATAATTGTGTTTTTTGCAAAAGTTTGGGCATCCTTTCTAACGTCGGCCATTGATTGAGGTTATCTAGCGCGTCGGTTGTCATTGACCACAGAACATCCCCCCTGAAGGGATATTTTGTGGTCATCAATTGTCTCTTCCGGGAATCAAAATACAATGCGGCGTTGCCACATATTTTGCGTTGCTTCCTTTCGGTTAATTTTCAGTTAGTTTCTGTTGGCACAGTTGAAGTGATTTTTGAATGAAACTATCAAAACTATGCAACAATTAATAACCTAAATTTTTCCCGGTATTTTGTTGTAACCGTAAACTCTTTGAATTTTATTAATATAGTGTTGGACTTTGACTGTGTTAACTTAATTAATACTGATAAAATTATTGGACTTATAAAGTTTGATTTAGAAGAACTTAACGATGTGTTTTTTAACGTTACTCTACATATTATGTACACCAAATGGGGCGTTTTAATAATAGATAGTTGGCTTAAGTTATTTTCCTATGTGCAATGTGCAAATTTAATTAAAACAAATTATCAACGATTTTTTAATTTTAAAGTAACAGAAAAAATAAAATTGCCATTGTAAGAATCAAGAAATATTAAGCAAAATAATTGCTGGTATCTTCTGTTTCCATTTACTTTTTGTTTAACGTGTCACACTAAGCAACAAATGAAAATAATTGCCTTTTTACAATATTCCAACAAAAGTGGAAAACCAACAACGTAGTTCGACTTTTTAGTAGGTAGTACTATGTGAATTAATTTCATTATATCAGGCGTATAAAATACTAGGATTTGTAATCAGAAATT